AGATAGATAGATAGATAGATAGATAGATAGATAGATAGATAGATAGACAGATGATGGATAGATAGATAAATACATTTAAGGTGTCAGTTCTTACAGGTAAACTGGACAGGAAACAAGGTGAACTAATTCTAATTTATTGCAAGGCTATATTAATGAAATAGAATATAGAACACAATAGAATATTCCTCATTGGCCAAGTGTGATTGGACACTTAAGGCATTTTACCCTGGTGCGTAAGTTCTCAATGTATATACAAACCATCAAGTAATATAGTCATAAAGCATAAAACACAATCATAAAAATCATAAGATATGAACAACTAAGTGATAAATCATAAGATACCAACAGGAGGTAATAGAAGAGAAGAGAACAAGAATAGCAATACAACTCTACTACATGGGTCAATATACTAAGGCATAAGACAGTACTGTGGGAATTAGGTGTTTAGCAGAGTGATGGAAACTTGCAAGTCTAAAAGTACAAACTCTCCATTACCACCTTTAACCGCTAGACCCATTACTGTGGGTCCCTCCTAAATTTCTTTCTCTGACCATTAAGCTACTGGGGGCTCCTCTTTCTCTTGTCTGATGGTTTCCTAGGCAGCATCTTTTCCCCTTATCCTTCAAGGTCATCCAGAAATACATTACAGAAGGGTAGTGTAGAAGGGATAAAGAGGTGTAGATCAACAAGCTAGACAAGGAGGAGAGAGAGTATCATATGCACGGAGATAGAAAAATACTGAACTACCCACAGTGGAAGAGTAGATAGTAAGATAGTGGAATTTGCAGAAATGGCAAAATTGGTGTGTTTGATGAAGGATAATACATCAAGTATTTTTTTTTACAAAAGACTGCACACCTTTTATGGATTTTTTTTGCTGAAAATGGGAAAAGAATGAAGTAGTGATTAATGGATTTGCTGATTAAAAAGAATTAATTATGAGTATCACTTTTTGCATTTTTTCTTTTCTTTTTTTAATTTCTTTTTCTTGGTCTTAACAGACAATTTGAAAATGCTAGGGAGCTATTCTGGGTAAAAAAAAGAGATTGATTAAAAACCATGGAGACAAGTAGCAACATAATATGATGTGGGAAAATTAAAAAATGTAGGAGAAAGGGGAAGGGAGTGAATGAATAGATCCAAAAACCTGCTTAGGACCTAATGCACAAGCCCAGAAATAATGACTGCTGTCAATATTGCAATGAACAAAGACATATTTTCAAGTTCACAGCTACTAAGATTGTTGGTCAAGCAGGTACAAAGATAGCCAAGGAAATGATTGAAGCCTGGGAAACAGGCTTCTTGTCAGTCAATAGGAGTGCTGAATTACCACCAGATTATCAGGTACTTAGGAGCCGAGGACTTGGCAGCACAAGGAAATAACATCCAATAGCTGGCCATTAACACACCAATCAACCAATAGGAAGCCACATCCAACCAGGCACCACATAAATATGACTCATAGAAAAGTACACATTCCAGTAGAGAAAAGTTCCCTGAGAATGGGCTCCTGCACGAGTCCAAAAACTTAAAAGACTAAACCTCTGGTCCCAATGACCAGTCCAAATTGGACCTTGCTGTCAATATTTGCTGGAATGAAATGTCAGTGTTGATTGTTTAGAATTGATCATTTGAAATTTTGAAACAATTCCAAAGAATCTTCTTCCCTTGAGAAGGTCCCTTGAGAAAATTCATGCCTTTCTTCTAAATAAAAAATGTTGCCAGTCATGAACAATATAGATGAAATTTCATTATCAAAATGATGAGACCATTTTCATATATAATGTAAAAATATCTAATAGCCAAAACTAGCTGATTGAATATTCTTGTGCTTTATCTTTGTTTTGCAAACACTGATGGAAGTCAAAGGTAAACATGGATGAATGGACATCTGACCTTTTATTTTCTCGCACATTTTTTTCTCCTTTCTTCCACCCAATGGTTGGTTTGGGAGAAGCTTGTGGTTTGCAGTCCACAGTGACTTCTTGGCCTTTGGTAATAATAATGGTCTTCTTCAGTTGACTCAGGGGAAAAGTTGGAGCAGAAGCTATTGAGAAAAGAAATCAATGTCAATGGAACCATCCAAACCCATCAAGAAATATTTTCAAAGTTGGCACATCACCTTTATTGGTTGGTTGGTTGGCTCTCCCTTATGAAATGTCTTTATAATGCAAAATCATATAGCTGTTACAAAGTACTGTATGTAATATATGAGGATGGGGTGAGACCCATTAATCTTACCAACCTTATCTTACCCATTAAATATTCTGTCATGCTATAACTATATTATTTATGAGTCAAAGAAAGAAATGAAAGATTGGTCAAGAATGACAGGATGAAAGGATCTAATAACATCTATTCCAATGGACATATTTCATAGCTCGCACACTTCTGAAAACCTAAACACGCTTGCAGTTTAATACATAATTTTTATATATTGGTGAGAATGGTTTGTTTAATTCCATATATTGTATATCTCAACCTTTATAAATCTTAGCTCTATTGAACAGTTTTGATTGATGAAAGTCTGCAATATTTATTGGATTTGTTGAGATAAGGACAACAAGATAGCTCTTATTTTTTCATTACAGCTAGCTACTTTGTACTTTCATTTCATTAAAATGTATTTATCTTTAAATCAAATTTATTGGCTGCTCTACTCAGAGCAACCCTTGAATTTATATTTATTTCTGTTCCACACTGTATTCTTAGCAAATGAATGGAAAAAAAGAATAACAGCCTTGAATACAGACCTAAAATCTTCAGTTCAGCACCGGCATAGATGGCTCCATGCTTGTTTTCTGCTACGCACTGATACATTCCAGCATCTGACTGATTAACACTGTGGATCATCAGTACACCATTAACCATCTCAATCCTGCTCTGTAATGGAATAGAAACATAATTCTACAAAAGCAAAGAAAATCAGGAAAATTTACTGGTTTCTCAGCTTTAGCTCAAGTAATGATGGCAGTAGAGCGAATGACATATTTCTGTGCTTAACATGCATTAAAGGAGCTTACTGACTGCCATGTTGACAGTTCCTCCATTGTTTTATCTTTTTTTTTCTTTGTGACAATTTTAAAATGTTTTGGATGCTTAAAACTGCATATGATTAACGTTGGCTCAGATTATCCTTTAAAAATGAGACTTTGGTGAAATCTCACTGCTCTGATCCTTTATTGCTATCAGCAATTATTCAGAGCTACCAATGCGCTAATTTTGAAAAAAAAAATGAATAGGACTCTCTTATGTAGTTGTAGATGTAGCCAAATCAAGCATTGGCTATTATGGTAGTTTACTGAGGATTTGATTTTTATTTAGTGTCTATTTTTCATTGCTGTCCAGAATTGCAAAGACAGCAACGTTGTCAAGCAGCCTGTAATATATAGCTAACCTGATGCATAATATTTTGGAATCGCAAGTATCATAAAACCAGAACAGATTTAACTTGCTGCTTTGGAATAAGCAAAGAATCCCTATTGAGTGACAATAAAAATATGAAATTTTATTTTATTTCTTTTGCAGCAGAGCATTCATCTGAACTAAGAAAATAAGCTTTTGACTTCTTGGTAGTGTTCTGTATTGCCAGAAAATAAATGATTTACAGTAGGATTTTAAGGTATGATGGTTTTTCTTGTTGTGGTTCGCTGGCAGCCTATGCAGATGGCAGTGGAATTGGACAGTGGGGAAGAACAGGGACCAGTCAGGGAGTCTGAAGAGGACTCGGAGGGTCCTGCGTCTGATGCAGAGATGGGGCCAGGACCATCTGGGAGTGGGGTGCTGCCTCCGGAGCCTTTGGAGTCTGGCAGCAGTGAGGCAGAGGATCCAGGGGAGCCTGTTCTCAGTGCACGTTTGTGCAGAGCTGCTAGAAGGCAAGAGCAGTTGAAACAAAAGGGGTCTGGAGTAAGGCTGGGAGGTTATTGCCCCTCCCATAAGGTACAAAGGACAGGCAAAGATGACAAAACCTTTGCAGGAAGCAAAGTCATTTTTGTTTGGTTCAGATGCATTCTTGAAGCTCTTTGTTACTTCGGTTGGTTTTTGTTCTAGTTTATTTGATACTTCTGTTATTGGCAGCACTTCACAGGAAAGAAAGGTGGGTGCTTATCTTGAGGGACTGTTTGAAATTCATTATTGGCTGGGAATGAAAAAAAAGCCCAGTGTTGCAATAAACCAAGACTTATTTTTAAAATAAGCGTGTGCATAATTATGGTCTTGGAAGCCTTGGTCAGAAAATTTCTTCAATAAAGCTGGTGCTACATATATGCCTTTTCATTCAAGATGGCACACAGTTTTGAGGGAAGAGAGAACCATCTTTGAGATGCCATTATTATGAAAAGGGGTTGCAGAAAACATTTTGCTACCTCTGAAAAGCCAAGAAAATGATACTTCAGAATGCGTGAAGTGAGTTCATTTAAACACCTTGCTTTGAACACCTTGCAATAAAATGCAAAGGAATACAAGAGATTAATTTCTAACAATATTTATACCTGTGAGTTATACTAAATATTTCTGTAAAACAGGATTATAATCCATTTATAGATATGGATATCTATATATGGATTGCAATCATTTACTACAGAAGTATATCGATATAGATAAGTTTAACCAACTATCTTGTGGCCAGGAACTGATTTTATTAGGAGTTGTGAAGAGCACAGAAGATGACACTGTTGATGCCACAATATAATGGAAATATTAACATTAAATAATTAGTTCAAGATAAAGAAAAGTTGATTTTTTTTTAAAAAAAGTATTTGCTTGTAATAAGAAGGCTCCTGAATGCAACTAGTATTTTTCTGTTTTATTGGTGATAAGGAAGAAGGAGGAGTAAATAGTTGTTGAATGGCTATTTTCTTGATTGCTTCTCATCATGAGATTTATGACACAGGGCACCTAAAATAATAAAATATATAAAAAGAAATGCACAAATGAAAAAAGTGTCTCTTCAGATTCTTGTGGGTTTTCACGTACACTTTAAGAAAGAAAGAAAAAAGATACAGATTTAGGATGTCACATATCTAAGGCTGAAAAAGAAGTATGGATTCATAACAGGTGATACAAACTTAAACCATAACAAAAATATCTGTTAGTCTCTTTTAAAAAAGGAAACTTAATTAAGGCCTCTAAACTACTTGAAACATCAGAGCTCTTCCAACAGTTGCCAACAAATTAGAATGCTAATATGAAAAATGAGAAGAATTCTTAAATACACAGGAAGTAATCATATTTCCTATAATTAATTTATGTTAATGTTATTTAAATCAAAGCTTTTATGTGTGATCATCTCAGATATTTTTTTCCTGACTCAACCTACGTCTGGAATTGACTCCACTTGGAAAATGTTCTTCTCCCTGCTTTAGAATGACTATAAATATATCATTGTTTTACTTCCTAATTCAATTGGCATCTGAGCTTAATACCATATTTTAAGACTTGTCAACCTTAAGACTTCTGGATTTAGCTCCCAGTACTTTTCAGTCATCCATTGTGGATGGGGAATTGTGGGAGTTGAAGTCCAGAAGTCTTAAAGTTGACAACTATGGAGACCCCCATTCTAAGATAACCTGAAATCAAATAAAACTACAGCATACTTACCTCTGACCGTAGAGTATTCCCATTTTTGAGCCAGCGATAAGTTGGCCTTGGCTTTCCAGAAGCTCTACACTCCCAGTGAAGTTGATCCCCACTGTCTAACTGGGTATCGTTCAGCCTCTCTGTCCAGTGTGGATATGCTGCCAACAATAACAATAATGACAGAAGATCCCGGTGATTAATATTGTGGAACTTTTAACTGATCCTTTAAAACAGTGTTTCTCAACCTTGGTGTTTTGTTGTGTGGACTTCAATTATCCAAGGACCAGAGGTGGTATTCAGCAGGTTCTGACCAGTTCTGGAGAACCGGTAGTGGAAATTTTGAATAGTTCGGAGAACCAGCAAATATCACCTCTAACTGGAGATTTTGCAGTATCCTTCCCCTGCCATGCTCACCAAGCCACACCCACAGAACCAGTAGTAAAAATATTTTGAATCCCATCACTGCCAAGGACGGCTAGGGAATTCTGGGAGTTGAAGTCCATGCATCTTCAAGCTTATAAGGTTGAGAAATACTGCTTTAAACTGATTAGAGATCAAATATGACTAATTTAGGTGATCAAATATTACTAGTGATAAGGATAGGTGGTATTTTGCACATTTTTCCAGCAATGGGTCAGACACAAACTGATCAATCAGAAGTTGCTGAATTAAATGAGGTAACAAAGTGAAACTCAAAATGTCCTGGCATGATGGGGATGGTGTTGATTAAATGTCTTTGGGTGGTAACATCATTATTGCAAGCAAGGGCCAGGAGAGCAAAGATATCATCACTACGTGAGTTATATGGATGCCATTAACTGTGATATGGATTTCAAGCCAAAAATAGCATATTCCATGCTGTTTCAACTGTGTAAAGCAAAACAGTCCCCATTTTGTCATGCTGCCTTTGCACACTGGGAGCCCTGCTGGATTTTGAAGCAATGGGAAGCTTCAAAACAAGGCACGAAAACTATAGCCCCTATTTGCAAATATTATGATGGACTAAATATAGTCCAGTTAGTGACTGCAGGTAAATTAGTTACCTCAAGCAGAAATGGGGATAGGTGGAACTTTAAAAGAAAACCTGCCAGTGCTTAGCTACAAAGACCATTGACTGCCAACGCCATCCAAGACAAATTGTTGCATTATTTGGTACCTAAAATCTGATGTCCCCTTTAGGATGTTCTTATTTAATCATAATATGAACATTACACTCCTGGGTAAGATAAGCCTAACTGCTCTATGAAGTTTGGTTGGCGTGAAGGTGTAAATATAGCAGTTCGCTTTGTTTTTAAACATAGTTGTTTAATAAAGGTATCTTTTGCACTAATCTTGGTCAAAGGAAACCATTCATTCAAACGTCTGCAAATGCTTTTTCCCCTTTGATTTGCAATCTACCCCTTTCTTATCCATTGTCATTTTTTTGTGGTTAAGATTCAGTTCTACAGTAAAATAAAGAAAAGGATGCTGATTATTTTAATTACTTGCCTTCCTTTTGCTCTGGGGAATGGGAAAATTAATAGATGAACAGAGTTGGAAGGGACCTTATAGATCATTTAGTCCAGTGGGCGCCAACCAGCGGGCTGCGGCCCACTGGTGGGCCGTGAGAAAATTTTGGTGGGCCGCAGAGAAATCTCATTCCCAGAGCACCTCCACAAAGCAATTAATCCAGGCTGTGCAGAAACACAGGGCTGCACCGCTCACATGGCCCGTGGGAACCTTCCCCACCCACTCACTCCTTACCCAGTAAACTTGCCTGCTAAATTGCTATTTTTCCTTTTTCCGACCATCATCTGTTCTGCTGTGATGGGAGATTTAGATTAGCTAGGAAGCAGGAAATGGTTGGATTTCTTGCTTTCTAGCTAGTCTTTAGATCTTCGCTCAGCACAGCCTTACCTCCCTTAGTAGTGAAGGTTTGCTTGCAAGCAAATTCAGTGCAGACTCACGGCAAGCAAATTTGAGAGACTGAGCTAGCCGATGGCAGATAGATAGATCACTGAATGATTCTGTGAGCAAGTCAATCTGCCTGCTTTGCCTGATTTTGGGTAAGAAGTTTCTCTTTTTTTAAATAAAAAATTCAATATTTACATGCATGGTGTGTTGTGAGATAATTTTGTGAGTTTGCTTGCAAGCAAATTTTATGTGACAGACTGAGCTAGCCAATGGCAGATAGATAGATGTCTGAATGTCTCTGTGATTCTGTGAGCAACTCAATCTGTCTGCTTTGCCTGATTTTGGATAAAAGTTGCTCTTTTTTATAAAAAATTCAATATTTATATAAATATTTATATTTACATACAAGCCATGCCCAGCCAGTCACATGACCACCAAGCCACACCCACAAATTAGGCCCCACCCACAGAACTGGTTAGTGGTCCCTGGGATCTAAAATTATGACTTTGGTGGCCCCTGAGGTCCAAAAGATTGGCGACCCTGATCTAGTCCACTCCCCCACCCAAGCAGGAGACCCTACACCATTTCTGACAAATGGCAGTCCAATCTTTTCTTGAAAGCCTCCAGTGATGAAGCTCCCAAGGCAAGCTGTTCCATTGGTTGATTGTTCTCACTGTCAGAAAATTTCTCCTTATTTCTAGGTTGAATCTCTCCTTGATCAGCTTCCATCCATTATTCCTTGTCTGGCCTTCAAGTGCCTTGGAAAATAGCTTGAACCCCTTCTTTCTGTGGCAGCCCCTGAAATATTGGAAGACTGCTATCATGTCTCCCCTGGTCCTTCTCTTCATTAGACTAGCCATGCCCAGTTCCTGTAACTGTTCTTCATATGTTTTAGTCTCCAGTCCCCAAATCATCTTGGTTGCTCTTCTCTGCATTCTTTCTTTTTTTATAGCTTGGTGACCAAAACTGGATGCAGTATTCTACTGTGGTGTTACTAAAGCTTTATAAAGTAGAATTAGTATCTGGTTGCTTTTCTCTTCACTTCAAAGTGATCTGTGTAAGATCACCACTCTGAAATAGAACTTGGCATCTTCATTGGCAGCTGACATTACACTTCTATCTTATATAGTTTGGCCTCATTTGTAACAGACAGACAGAAACTCCATTAATCAAAGGGAAGAATGAATGAGAATACCTCGATAGCTTCTCTCATTCTGAATCCATAGTCTAGGTCAACCAGCTTTATGGTTTGACAAAAGCTTTAATTCAAAAGGATGAATCAATTTGTAATCATGTTTTCAAGCCTATTTTTACATTACAGACTGCAACAGCATTGGATGTGTTCAGCTGTAAAATTAAACTATGTTTTAACATTGTGAGAGCTACTATGAAAAGAAATTTTGGTTCCTCCTAGATTTCTCCATACTCATTCCTCCTTTGTCCTCAGACATACAGTAGGAACAAGATTATCAAACATTTCCACTTACATTTTAGATAAAATGAAATTTATTGTGTAGCATAATCAGGAATCTATGTCTTATCAGTAAATACATTTAGAAAAAAGAAGAAGCCAGCTTTGGTATAATTTAGTCTGAAGAGGTTTTACAGCAATCATAGTTAAAAACAGAGTTCTCCAAACTTGGCAACATTAAAACTTGTGGACTTCAACTCCCAGAATTCTCCAGCCAGCATAGGAGTTGAAGTCCACAAGTCTTAAAGTTGCCAAGTTTGGGGACTTCTGGTTAAAAATAACCATAGTTTGTCCATTTAGAGAAAAAGCAAAGAACTAGGATCACACATTATATTAATAGAATTTGGAGTTATCCTCAGCTATGAGGCTAACTCCAAACTCTATTCACCTCATAAAACTTTAGCAATGACAGCTGATGGTGCAAGCTACAGAACAACTGTATGTTATTGATACTAACTGCCAAGAAAAAAAAAGCTTTTTCAAATTAATAAGGGTTAACTCATTAATCCAAATTGCTGAAGAATGTTCAAATCTCTTAGATATGACATTGAAGTCTAACAGGTTCAGAAGCCTGAATATTTGGCAGTGTAAGTTGGTAATTGAGAACCAACACAGAATCTATTTTGGATAGAATGAAATCACTGGAGCACTTTAATAACTGTTATTACACTGGACTGAATTTAAAAATGAATCATATATGCTATTTGGTATTTGGCCAGTCTTCAATTTGAATTTAAATGGCTTCAAGAAAAGCTTTCCTATTCTGAGCATCTGTCATGGTTATAACAAATAGAACAGCCTTACCTAGATGGGAATGAGGTCTGTTGAACTATGGAATGTTTATATGCACTGGTTTGACCAGAAAAATTGGAAAAGTTTTGGCTCATCAATGCATGACTGTATGTGATTTAGAATGATCAAACCAATCTAGTTTCACAGTTGAATATCTGGATTCCACCTCATTTACAAAACATTTACTTAAGCAAAAATTCTCAGTCTTAATTTTATGTTTTGTATAAATCTCCAGCTATGAGGTTAGGATCAGTTTCAAAATCTTGCTTCAAAAATCCATCATAAATTGGGTTTGTCTAGTTTAATGAAAAGAAGGACTAGGGGAGACAGGATAGCAGTGTTCCAATATCTAAGGAGCTGCCACAAAGAAGAGGTAGTCAAGCTATTTTCCAAAGCAGGACAAGAAGCAAAGGATGGAAACTAATCAAAGAGAGAAGCAATCTAGAACTAAGGAGAAATTTTCTAACAGTGAGAAAAATTAGTCAGTGGAATGGCTTGCCTTCAGAAGTTGTGGGTGCTCCAACACTGGAGGTTTATAAGAAGAGATTGGAGAGCCATTTGTCTGAAATGATATAGGGTTTCCTGCTTGAGAAGGGGGTTGGACTAGAAGACCTCCAAGGTCCAGCGGTGGGATTCAAATTTTTTTACTACTGGTTCTGTGGGCATGGCTTGGTGGGCATGGCAGGGGAAGGATTTCCCCTCTTACTAAATATAATATATAATAAATTACTGAATTTCTCCTCTTACTAAATATGGCTAAATTCAACATCATATTTGTCTGTGAAACATGGCTCAATGCATCTCTCCCTGACTCCATTACCACAGTAAGAGACTATCATGTTTACCGATCAGATTGTGAAATTCGTAGAGGAATTCTATAAAAAGTCTTTACATCTAAAAAACATCCAAGTTACCCAAGAGCTTGCTCTTCCTGAGACCATCGTCTGTGAACTGTCCTTAAATATCACATTTCGATTCTTACTATGTTACAGAGCCCCTGAT